ATATGATTGACAAATAATAATTATTGATTTATTTGTATATGCATAAATTTTTTTATTTATAACAAAACAAATGAATGTGATTTTAAAAAAAATGCCTAGTCCTGCAACTCACTGGAATAAAATTTTATTCTTTTCAAACAAGTCATCTCAAAAGAAATTGAGTTTACCAACATCACCAATTCAATTAAATAACATTAATGAGAATCAAATTGTTACAGAACTTGATGCAGGATGCTATCCATGAAGAGAATGAAATTTTACTATTTCAGGCTTAGAAACAAGGAAAGGGTTATTTTCAATTTGAAAATCAAAAACTGACTAATAAAAGCGATTTTTATTCTAATTCAGATCAAGAATTTGAAAATTTATTGGAAAATCAACATGAATTTTCTTATGGATCTTTACTAAGTCATGAACTTTTTTCACAAGATGAAGGTAATGTGTTAATAATATGATATAGTAAATATTGATAACAAATTGCTTATTTTTATTTTTTTTTTATGATGATAATAAATTGCTCATCATTATAAATCATTACATTTTAATGAAACTACCAGAAATATGTCAAGGAACACAAACTGTAATAGTAAATTAATTTCAGCTGCCGTAAAGATGATTGGCACCATAATTTATTACAAAGAATTTGTGCATCAAAGGTCTAATGTGTCTGATTGTTAAAATAAAAATTCAGATTATTGAGGCAGTTTAAATAGAAGCAGATTCAGTAAAAAATTTATGGCTTAATATTCAAAAGGCCAAAGTTTATCCAATTTCTATACAACAGTTTAACTGAGTCATGTGTTATTATTAGTTTGGCAAGAAAATAGGTGAGTGATATGAAAATTTTTAGAAATAACCACAGACTTGGTTTTACATACATTAACAGTATAAAACGATTTGCATGGGAACTTTTAATACTGTAAAAAGAAATTAATTCAGAAATCTGCAAATCAAATTAGTTTGGGTAATTATACACACGCTTATCGAGTTTATTACTGTATTATTAAATAAATATGTAAAAACCCACTATTTATAAATATTAATAAAAACTCTCGTTACAATGAACTTTACATTAAATTATATAATATATTTATATTTACTATAAAGAGATTTTTTGCTACAGTGAACAAAATTTTGGGAACAGAAGGTTCGCTTTGATTTAATAATTAATTTTTATTTATTTATAAAATTATCCAAGCAGAATACCTTGTTTTCTCAAACATTCAACCTTGGGTCCCACCAGGGTTGAAATTTTTAATTTTCAACTCGATTACAACCCTAGTTGTAATCGTCAGCCACATTTCAACCCAAACCCGATTAATTCGTGAATACCCGATCCTATTTGTCCTTATTATTACTATTATTAGTTAAAATTAGCCAATGTTGATCTATATATATTTTTCGAAATCAAACAAAATCCCTATTATATATATATATATATAAAAAATATTTTATTTAAATTTAGTAGAAATTGTAAAATGCTATCAATAGACATTAATAATAACAACAACAACAACGATAATAATGGAATACTCGTAGATGGTGAGGACTCGGAAGAAGAAAATACTTTATTAGACGAATCAAATCATGCTGCTAAAAAACAATCTGCTCTTGACGCGTTAATTACAAAAATTGGAATGGGAAAATTTCAAAAACAATTATTGGTTAGTTTTAGGAAATGTTTATTAGTTATAGAATAAGATTAGTATTTATTACTATTAGCATCAACATTAGCACTAGCAATATTGTCCTTTTGATTGCTGCCAGTCACCTTATCATTACAATTTCTATCTGTGTTATTTATTTATATATAGGTGAAATAAATAATAATATAAAAGGTTTCGATTGATAATAAATGGTTTTGTGGTTTTATAGGTTTTATGTGGATTCGGCTGGCTTGCTGATAATGTTAGTGATGAGATTAATTATATTATAATCAATCATATATTTGTACGTGTATATATAAAAGTTAAAAACTAATTAATATCTAATATCATATATCAATTTTAATAGATGTGGCTACAGGTAATGTTACCTATTGACTTTTGGATCTTAATATCAAACATCATTTATTTAATAATACATTTATAATCATTATTACAAGGGTGTGGCTGTAATATTACCAAGAGTTCAGCGTAATTATAATACTTTAATAATAATATTATCGCTATTTACGAAATATATCAATTAATTAATCAATGATTATTATTTAATTTAGGTCATTATAATATATCAAATGAATATATTGGTATTTTATCTAGTTCAATTTTACGCAGTACTAATATTGCATCATGTTTACGATTACGAGATATTAGATATTTTGGTGATTCTTGAAGACGAAAAAATAATATACGAGCAACAAGCATAAGAAATGTCTAAAATAATATTAGAGAATATTACTTGTTAATTTATTTTGAATAATTTTAATTAATTACCGTTAGGAGGAAGTAAATTTTGATAAACTAACCAAAGTTCCTAAAGTTGCCAACAAATATCTCCAGCCATTATTTTCTATCGACACATCACAAGTATCTATTTCTCCCTTTTTCATTTCTGGACAACTGTATGGAGGCAGAACAATATATGCCAACACTGATGTTAAGACAGCTCCAAATGAAAAAAATACTGACATAAAAGTTAAAAGATACTGATGTTCTTTTGGTATGAATTCCAAGAAAAGTGCGCCTAAAATTAATTATAAAATATAGAAATTATTGTCATCATTAACCTACCTTTAGAAGTATAAAAGACATTTGCATACCATCAACTGGCATATTTCCACCGACACCAAATCCCAATAAAAATAATAAAAAACATAATTGTGCGAAATTTTGCGAAAAACTTGAAAATACTCCAAATAATGATGTGATCGCTAAGGTCCAATTGAATGCTTGCTTACGACCGTGAGAATCAGAAAGAACCCCCCAGAAAAGGGCACCAAACATCATTCCTG